GTGTGTCTACTTTCAGATCCTTCGATCGACCAAAAGTGCTTGGTGGATAACTCCTCGGTTTCCATGATTGGAGATGAAACAGCTGCGGGCTTTCCAGCGACTATCTTGGATGCATCTATCGCACCCTCTCTCACTTGGCAGTACGAGGAGGGATTTTTGTCCAGCAACACCGGGTCAGGTAGTGAGCCGGAATCTGATTCCACCGAGTCCTGTGAGTCGGAATCAAGTTCCAGCTCGACTGAGTCGGAGTCTGGTAATCCTGGGGATGATAACCCGGATGTCACAGTTATGTCCAGGTCGTCTTTTTCTTTCTCATTTGAGTCTGTTGTAACCGAGAATTCGAACGATTTAGATGAACTTAATGAGAATCAAGTAACTGTGGTTTCTGAGTACTTTTTTGTGCCTTTAATTGATTGCATAAATTCAGACTTTCAAAATTTTGATGAAAACGACGAGGACGAGATTCCTCCAGTTTTGCAACGTTTAATTGAGCAGGAGCAGGAGAGATTTGTTAAACCCTTAACAGATGAAATCATTACCGTGAACATTGGTACTGAAGAGGACCCGCGGCTGGTCCAGATCGGGTCCACGCTGTCTTCAGAGGAACGCGAGCGCTTAGTCGCTTTATTAAAAGATTTCAAAGATGTTTTCGCGTGGTCCTACGAAGACATGCCTGGGATCGATCTTGAGATTGTACAGCACCGGATCCCCCTTGACCCCGAAGCCCGACCTGTTAAGAAGAAACTCCGAAGGATCCGCCCCGACTGGGCTCTCAAGATTAAAGAAGAGGTCATCAAGCAAATCGATCCAGGCTTCCTGATGGTATCCGAATACCAGACTTGGTTGGCCAACTTCGTTCCAGTGCCGAAAAAGGATGACAGGATCCGGGTATGCGTGGATTTCAGGGATTTGAACAGAGCTAATCCGAAGGACGACTTTCCCTTACCGCATATTGATGAGTTGGTGGACTTCACAGCAGGGCATGCTTTGCTCTCATTCATGGATGGCTTCTCAGGATACAATCAGATAGTAATGACACCTGAAGATCAGGAAAAGACTGCATTTACCACCCCGTGGGGGACATACTACTACAGAGTAATGCCGTTTGGGTTGAAGAATGCCTGAGCTACTTATCAACGGACCGCGACCACAATATTGCATGACATGATCCACAAAGAGGTTGAGGTGTCTGCTCAAGTGATCAGAGCATACGACAATACCAGCAGGGAAGTGATGAGGACTGTCAAAATTCAAACCAAGGTTGGTCCAGGACAACACAACATTGAATTTCAT